ATCTCAAATGGTTTCTCTACCTAAGAGTGAATACGTATTTTTGATTATTGCATTTGTTTGTCTCTTGTAAAGTCATCAGCTCTATGTATTTTTTATCCTCAGGACTTCGGAAGCAAGTCGAATGAACAAATTTACTTTCAGAATCCGTCTAATAATAGTGGGATTCGACCTGATTGAAGTGCTGCCTTCAAAAATGGCAAACACTAGTGCTCTGTTGCAGGACTCTACTCAACAGTACTGCCTCGAGGTAGGACAACAGCTTCAGCTAAAAGAAGCAAAAACACACTTCTCGCTTTTCTCCTTGGGTGAAACCAGAATGAATCCAAAGCCCAAAACCTAAAGAATCCTTTCGTTCTTCTCAGCTTTCAGATGCTACAACTCAGTTAAAACCTGAGAACCTCTCTTTAAAACCTCTCTTTCCGAATCCACCAGCCACGCGAGCATGGGTTCATTCTATCTTTTGCCAGAATGTTTATAATACGAGTCCATTTAGAGGTTTGTTCCCACCATGATTACGGTAAATCACTTTTCCGAAATTCATCACACAAGTGATCACTAAATTAGCGACTAAGAAAGCATCTGAATCTCCTTCTTCTATTTAAACCTTGTCGTGGCTTCCGCCCGACTTATTAAAGGGCCACGCCTGGTCGGGCGNTTTGAACTGTATATATACATATTTGATGACTTGAATCTCTCCTCCACCCTTTGAGAAGATTACGAATTTGTGAAAAAAAAATCCCGGAACGCACGGCTTCTTCGACGAGCCTTTTCGTCTGATCGACTTGCTTTAGGGTTTCTTCATTCCCATATGTAACCCTTANGGGCGCGCAGGGGTCCCGGCGCGCCAGCGTATCGATGCCTGCGCGTCGGCTATACTCGACGCGTGCTCTGGCCTAATGCCATCCGGCAGTGTGTCTCCATCGATCGTCGTAGCCGGCCGCCTCTGCAAGTCGTCCTGTCGTCGTACCGCTCGAACCTGGAAGTGCGATGCAATCCGATGGGATGTGGTGTGATCGACTTGGGCATGGAAGCCGAGCGGTCTCCAGGCACGTCGCCTCCCCTCGTGAGATCAACTTACTGGGTTCGTACCACCTGAGACGTAGGTTGCTGGTTTTTCGTAGCTCGTTTGCTGACGTATTTCATATTCCTTTTTTATGGATATATGTACATAACAGGCATTTCCTTTTACCAATTCCTCTGACTGTCGTATTAATATTTCCTTATTTATTGGCGCATCCATGAAGACTGCGTATAGTATTGTGTTAGTGTTTAAGATCGTAGACGGTAACGCCGTGAAGATTACATCTGGTTTGAGTGTTAAGAATAGGCAGGCCATCCTGGTCATAGGAAGTAGCACGCGTAGGGTAGAGGCAGGAGTGCAGGGACAGCGTAAGGGCCGCTAGGGCCAAAGTAATATCCCGCGTGACAAATGGGGCGAGAGCGAGCGCAGCGTAAGACCCCGATCAGNCAATCACGCCGACAGCGACGCCGCTCCTAAGCGGCGAACACTGATGGCAACGTATGGCGAGGAGCAAGGCGTCACCGCTGGCGCGACAAACCTCAACTAAGTGTAACCCTAGCGACTCTAGCTCAGCTTTTGGCCATAATAACAACCATAGGACAGTGGTACGATAAACAGTTAAGCAGCAAGGATATCAAGTCAGCTACGAAGTATCATTCAATTTTCCAGCATGGAGTTTCAATTGCTACATCAACTTATTACCGAGTATCAATGTTAATCTCCTTTCTCACTTCGTCAGCATCAGCCATTAACATGAGCTACTTTCTGTATCGATACTATAATCACAGTCCATTTTTTCACACTAATTTGAAGGTTTGTTTTTGTTTTGTTGCTTGTTTTCCATCGTTTCTTCACAACTGTTATCAATTTTGTTTTGGAGTCTTTCAAAAAGATCGGACCAGAATAAATTCGAAAAAATTCGAAAAATTCGAAAGACAAGTCGCAAGTTAAAGAACTCGATTTTTCAGATGCTTTTCTTTGCTCTATGCTTTTCCTATCTTGCATATGATCTCATCAACATTGGCATGAAGGTGAGTAGATGAATAAAGTGAGGTTTATCGAAAAGTATGCTAAAATCAAATAGAAATTTGGTAAACTTATGCGCTCTTGAAAAAAAGCTCGGCCCATCAGAGAAAGGAGGGGTGATGTCTCCGGGCGTTAATCTCCCGTCTGAGAAATGCGTCACCACATTTCACTTCCATTGGCTGCTTTCATAGTTCGCGATTTTGCCCGCGATCGAGCGAGCGAGCGACGTGGGACTACTCGTCTGGCCTTATCAACCAACTCAGTTGTAAACAAGGGGCAACGCCGCCCCCGCCGCTCGCTCGCGGACTATGAAAGCAGCCATTCAGGACTTTCATACTGCACCAATTGCCTTTACACCACATCGTTTCCAGAAATTCATTCAGAATTTCCGGAAACATCCGATTGAGCACTACCACGTGTGCGTTACTCATTTGCAAGTAATCATCCTGCAATTCTGATTTGATTGATTGTAATCGCTTTGGAAGCTTTGGAAATTATGTAAAAAGCGGGGGAGGGGAGGGGGTGGACAAAGCCAGCTAGCAGAAAGCCAAGCAAAATGTCAAAAACTTGATCATTGATCACTACCGTAATGCTGTTTTCAGGCTCATCATCTCGCACTGTCATATTTGTATAAGACGCCATGCCAAATATTTCTTCCAAGATTACTGTACATTTTTTTCATTGTTTCGACGACCTCCGTATATTTGGTTTCGCAACTGATGCTCATCACTATTGTTATTGAACGATGGGTAGCTTTCATTCTATTTCGCAGCTATGAGTCAAGCTACAGAAATCTGGGGCGAGGACTGATATTAGCAGTTGTGAGTTCCATTCAGACTTTACCTGAATTTAGGAAAATAGCCTACGTGATCGAGTCCCTCCAAGACCAGGCATTTTGCCGATAGCGCTCCCTCTTCTGAAACTATATGAAGGTATTCATTCCTCCTTGAATTAAAGGACCCTCGGTATAACAATTGTCACGTCAGTTCACAAACCCTGTTCGATTGGATGTTCCCTAACCTCATTGAACTGGGAGAGCTCTTCTGAAGATGAAACTAATAAAGAGAAAAGTCTCTTTTCAGGTGCATCTCAATGCATTTATTCTACTTGTCATATTTTATGGGCAAAACTTTGATGAGCTTCAATTGAATGGACGCATGTTTCCAACAGCTGTTTACATCAGAGTGAACGTACTGTTCATCACATTACTAGGGCTGAATTTCACCGGCTTCGTGTTTACAATCGCTTTGCAGCTTTTGAGACCTAAACGTCGCATACAGTAAGTAATACGATACTGCGAGAGGTTATGTTAGTGATTGCAACAAAAGTACCGTATAGTAAGAATCGTTCTGATATACTCAAGGTCAGCGGACCAATTGTTAAGCTCTGGAACTACTTGACACCCCTTTGCAGGATGCCGCTATCATCCAAATTTCAATCAAATGAGAATTCTATTGCCTCAACATTGTTATTCTGGATTACGACTTTTCAATTTGCACTTTATGGTAGTTCACAAGCCGTGGTTATATTCATAAGGATTTACGCATCCCAGAATCCCATGGCGATTGCATACAAAGAAAACTCTGACGTAAGTTATGCTAGATATCTATGAAATTGGTCTAGTGAAGTAGTTGGGAAGGGGATGTTGGAGAGTATAGGATATCTGCCTCAGTTGATGTTCATATGCATAATTCTTAGTCTGCCCACTGAATGTTTTTGGTGTCTCCCAGGCAAGGGTGAAGGGACATGAGGCGGTAACAAACTGTTGCTCAAACATTACCCCTTTGCCTTTTTGACCCTCTCTTCTGTACAATTCCCATTCCCGGAGAGTAGACTACTACCTTATGATAGCAGTTCCCAGGCACACGCTTGATCCCGTTCTACGCTCCGCGCCGGCCGCGAGAAAGTAGCTCAACGGAATTCAGTGTTCTGGTGAATAGTTGAATCTGGCAAGAGCCACAGACGATTTTTTTGGAAAAAACTGGACTCCGATGATTACTGATTTTTTTCTGAAATATCAGAAAGCCCATTTTTAGTTTTTCAACTTTCTCACCCTAGTGATGCCCATATTATCGACATATTATTTCCGTAAAGTTAAGCGACAGCGAATCGATCGTATAAGAAGTCAGATAGAGGTAGGTTCATACCGCTGTTAAATACTGACGAACTTTGTCTTCAGCTAGTTGGCTATACCCATGCTTTTGTGCTTATAGATGAAATCTAACGGGAATGACGGTTGGACGAACTACTCGACTGTGATTGGAAAGCAATGGAACAAATAAGATAGGGATCATACAATCATCAATCCATATGAGCGGTGTGAATGTGTTTTCGTCATAAATTCTTTAACTGCTAGTTTTGAAGCATCAGTCAGTCCGGTTTTGGGATGCGCCACCCATTCGACTTCCTTTACGAACCGCTATGGTGTCTTGAATGCGTATGTGCCCTATACAATGAATTGTTGCTGTAAACACAGATGCAGATCCCTGCTTCTCCATCCTCTGATACCAACTAAAAGAAAGCGAAAGGCTGGACGTTTTAGTTTGTCAGGGAAAGATACTATTCGGGACTAGACCCCCGGACCATGTGATGATTGTGCACGCCTAGCTCCACTACATCACCTTCACCTGATGTATACTATTGATTATTTATTTATTTCTAATTGTTTATTTTAAATTGCAAGTTATTTTTGGTATATGCAATATGAAAACCGTCCTAGCTTGAATATTTATCACAGGGAATCGGATGATAGGTATTCCAACAGAATAAGTCTCAAGAAATGGTCATTATACAGTTCTTACATTGGTTACGTCTAGCTCGTATGGGCAACAACTAATAAGACTGGCAACTTATTAAGGGAGTTTCTTGTAAAGTAGAACAGTTATGTCCCGAAGAATCCTTCTATTCGCCATATATTTTCTAAATATATTGAAAAATCGAATATTATGCTGTCTCATACAAAAGTTTTTTCGTTTTTGCGTTTGAAACGTGTTCTTCGATGATTATTCCGCATGTGCTGGACGAGATCGGCGGTAAGACGGAAAGCTGAGCCACAGATTGCACAGCAGTTTTCGTTCGTCATTGCCACCACTCCCAATGCCGATTGTACCAATGGGTTATTCGAGATGGTTGTGGGTGCTGCTGATGATGAAGAGGACGAGCTTGGCAACAAGGGAGCTGCAAGAGTGAACATTAACTTTGTCACTTAATCAGAGTCCACCTTGTCCGAAGGCTAGAAACACTTTCTAGAGCACGCTGAATTCAAGAGTCCACGGGACCCATAAGCTTTGCACAATTAGAAATCGAACCCCCAACTTATTGATGCGTGTTCATAGAAATACTGGGAATTGAATGAACACTTGCAGCCTTAATACCGTCGGCCCCGCGTCCCTGTCCAGCAAAATTGTGGCCTTCCCTCGAGTCTCCCCCCCCCCCCCCC